CACCCCCCCCCCCCGCCTCATTTATACTCTCCCTTCACTTCCCCGCTGCCTCGTTTTTGGCCACCAGGAGTGAATAGATGTACCTGATATATTCAGATATGGAAAGCATGTGACTCACTCCCCCTCTATCCATGATTCAGTGCTGGATACTAGTCATACACTGTTAGGTTTTTCTTGTTCAGCCCAAACAGATTCTTCTATCCACTATCCTTACTAAACAGCACGGATGGACAAATCTCCTGCTACAGCTATTGTATTCTGACCATGCTAAGCAAGGGGTACAGCCTCCAAAGCTAGTGTTCATGAGCTGCCGATCCAGATTGCTGCTATGTACAGTAGAGACCAGCTCAAGCAGCACTACGCAAGAAGTCTTGATTAGATTTACCAAGTCAAAAGCACCAGCAGTGTCGTAAAAAGTTAGATTTTTTTGGGAAGCGAAGCTAACGAAAAAGGCATCTAACCTTCTAGGACACTGCTGGGTACAAGAGGGCTTATATAGGGGCTGGCTTAGTTTTTTCCGTTTGCTTGTGTCCCAACCTCCTGGTGACAGTATAACCCGACTGAAATAGAATTCCTCTGTCCCCCAATGGACAATAAAGAAAATTATGTTTTTCTTCAGTATTTTTACTAGTTTCATCATGTTCTCACTAGGGATGCACCGAAACTGATACTAGTATTGGTGCCGATACCGAGTATTTGAGCGAGTACTCGTACTTGCCCAAATGCTCCGATACTTACCCCCAATACCGGAGCTTCTGGTCAGAGGGAGATTTCCTCTGACCAGCAGTGCCGTGAGGGGAACATGGAGCTGGCTTCCCAGCCAAACAGCATGGAGTCGGCTTCCCGGCCAATCAGCATTGAGCTGGCTAAACAGCATGGAAGCAGCTTCCTGGCCAATCAGGAAGCCGGCTCCATGCTCCCGGAAGTACCGCTATCGGTATTCGGTATCGGCAAGTAACAAAAGATAAATATTGGTACTGGTACTTAATACTGAAAAACCGGTATCGGTGCATTCCTAGTTCTCACCCACCTCTTACCAAACATACAAATACGGACACAAGCTATGGTAGAACCTTTATTTATTCCCAATATCACAGAAATGAACACATTTTGCCTTACACAAGTAGGTAACTAAAAAAGCTAACTAAAGAATAACATGCGGGAAAGAGGGACACAAACTATTTTTATTCTAATTCCAATTTCATTCCACAACTCAAAGACAAACTATGTTGTAACAGAAAAGAGAAACATCACTGGTGTGGAAATGTGATATCCTATAAAACTCCCAAAGCTTCCTCTTACAGACGTACAACCAGCATGTGCCATGAAATATTAGGGGGCAGTAATACACGGAACACTTTGCTTGTCAATAATTATGTTATAAGTACAAACAACTAAAGAATCAAAGAGGCAATTCAAGAGTGACAAAGCCAGTGATCAAAGTGCTTTCCTTCTGTCTGATGTCAAACCATGCTGTTGTTGAAAGGTCATTGCAAAGGGCTGGGGGAAGGGGGTGTTAAGATGCTTGATGTGCATGATGTTGGTAGAAGAAAGATTTTACTTTACATGACCTGGTTTGACATAAAAGAGTTGTGGATTTAACAAGAAGCACATGACCTTGATCAGTCATTAACATTTACAAAATGCAGCCAATTAAAAGTGAAACTGCCATCAGATGCTTTATATAAGAAGCAACTATAGATATTAAATAAAAACAGCAATTTATATAAATTTGTACAATACATAGACCTCAATGCTCAGATGTGCTTGTTATTTTCTCTGTGATTAAAGGAGAACTATGAGGTGAGTGAAAATCACTCAACCTCATAGTTCGAGCCGACGTGTGACAATTAAACTGTCACACGTTGGCTCAAAAGATCGGGAAGTGAGCGAACACATACTGTCGCTTCTCGATGTAGCTTGCAATATACTGAGCTTTGGGTCACGGGAGGACGCTAGTATATGTTCTCCCATGACCCTTAAGAGAACTATGGGGAAAAACACTTACCACATAGTTCTCTTTTAACTTCTACGCAGAACAATTCTTAAAAGTGATGCTCGGTACGGTTTTATCCCTTCCAAATACTGGGTCAACTGTGGTCAAAACTTACTAATGGTACCCAAAACACTGAGCAGCTTCTAATCCGCTGATCATTGTCTAAGGCCTTGTTCACACCAAATGCAGACCAGATCCTAGTCTTTTAGATGCGTTTTTGATGCGTTTGCAGATCCAGAGCAGGTAAAATAGGGCCTGCCGCAGTTTTTTCACCTGCTCTGGACCTGCTCTGGAACTGCACGCTGCGATGTGAACTGGAGCAAAAAATGCCATTGGAATACATTGGACGCAGTTTTGATCCGGTCTGCAACTGATCTGCTCTGCACCTGCTCCACGCTTGGTGTGAACAAGGCCTAATAACATTGTAACTCACAGCAACCAATGACAGATTGGCCTTTACCTAAATTGCTTAAAACTGGCTTTTATTCATCAGAACCGTTCTTGCGCTATATTTTTAAACAGGTGATAAGCCTGTGGGTAACCAATAACATTATTGTACAATATGCACTGAAAAGATCAAAGTGCCTTTATTAATGGCATACTTACTGCCCCTCTGTTGTTCTTCAGCTCTCCATGACAGCTCAGTGCTCGGGAATGATCAATCAGCGGATCCTTCTGACATTCGTCAAGATAAATCAGCCTCTCCTTGTAATAGTGACACTCCGACTCTCCCGTCTTTACGTTAATTTCAGTAACAATTCCCTGAACTATATTAATCTGCCAAAGAACAAGAAGAAGATCGTTTAAACCTACTCTGAGTCTGTACATCTAATATTCAAGAAGAATGAATGAAGGATAATAGTGTCATCTCTAGGAAATTTCCATTAAAATATACCAAAAATAGCACAGCACTAAACAGAAGTTAGTGCATTATTTAAATGCCTCGTTCATTCTTCTTCTACTGAATATAACTTTCCACGGAAGTCAGTAAGCCTAGCAATATAATATTCTGACAACAAAGGCTTGGCTTAAAGAGGTAAAAAAATATTTTAGGACCTTGCTGAATTTTCCTGACCAAACACCATACATCCGCTGAGGACATTATTAGAAAAGGCTCTTTCCAAACGTAAATACACCAGAAGTGTTTAATAAACTCCTGTCCAACTAGAAAGTAACACCGTATTTATCAAACAGGTCAAGCAAAGGGCCATTTGTTTTACTGTATCATGGATCAGGTCCACATGAAGGGTACAGGATGCCTGTAAATAAGTGCGCATGTGTGTAGAATATCTAAATCATATATAATGCAATGCAAGGGATAATTTGGAAGTCAACATTTCAAGGGGTACTTAAGATGAACCATGCTGGGGGGGTATGAAGACTGGCTTTTATATAAGGACACACACAGTGTAACAAACCTGAAAGACAGTGTGCACATTGTATTTTCTGTTCAAGAGATCCTAAAAAAACTCACTTTTCCTATGAATAACTACATTGTTTCAAAATGTAAGTTTCTGCAGAAAGTAAAAGGTCACTGCAAAACTTGTCAATCAAGCTACTTGACTTGTCTGTGTCACCAAGATAGGTGGGAGATGTTTTTACTAAAAACAATTATAGTTTTACTTAAATTTATGATCCTAAAATCTGTCCAGGGCTCCATAAAAGAGATTTACGCTCACTTTCTGTTCTGAGGTAAATTTTTTACCCAGACAGGAAGTGAGGGTAAATCTGCTGCAGTGAAACTGATAACGGTAAAAATCCAATAGTGGTTATAGCATTCCTCTAATTAAAAAAGCCTTTTAATAGTCCATTCACACCATGTTAATTGGAGCTGTGCTGGTCGTGGTTTCCAGCACAGCCCCAACGCAAGACAAGGCAATTTGCCTCGTCACGAATGGTGCTCATTCTCACCACTGCGTTGCGGTAAGAACACAGTGGCTTGCGCTAAAAAAAAAAGTAAGGCATGCCTTACTTTTTTGCAACACAGTGGGATGTGATGCAGTACAACTGCCCGGCACCCCGCTGTGCCCATAGAGCCAAATTAAATGTCACAATGTGTCCTTTCAATAAAGTTCTAACAAAAAAAGTACACAGTGTGATGTGCTGGGATCAGCTCTTTGGCACCGCACAACAGAAGCTGTGAGATTAGCACAGCATCTGTTGTGAATGGGCCCTTACTTTTGTCTGTTTTGCTGATGGAGAGATCCCTTCACTTCCTGTCTTGCTAAAAAGCTGTCCCCAGGAGAGGAAGTAAGGTAAAATCTCTCTAAGAGGGTTTTAAAAAGGCAGTAAAACTTGACAGGAGTTCTAATCCTTCCCTACTCTGTCCAAAATGTAAAAATTTTTTTGCCTATAGATACACTTAAAATATTGGCATTATTTGTAGTTGGCAAGAGAAAGGCAGTAGAAGACTTTTACTTACAGCTTCCTCCAGGGGCTGCTGGTCGGGGTGGTCATTTGGGGTATGCCTGAGTATTTCTTTCAGTAACAAGTGGTATTTCACCAGTCGACTCCTGGGAATGTCCAAGAAATTCCATAAGTCTAATTTCCGGCTAAAAGGTGACTCTAAGCAGCGCTGCAGGAAGTCCTGTACTCTGTGGTCCTGTTTCTTGTAGTCCAGAAGGGCTTTTGCTGCCACCTGGTTACTGCAATAGCTGTCGTAGGAGTTTAAACAGGGCAGCTGTGGAGAAAGATAAAATCCAGTTATAGAACATCATTTCAACACTGTGTGTTTGGCAGGACATTGGAAATGTAAAAAAACAACATTAATGCTGAATAAGGTGTAATCTCCTTTTGACATACAACTCTTAAAGCTGCTTTAATGCTCCCTACTCTACCCCACTGCTTCGTCCAGCTGCTGAGAGCCAAGAAAATATTCAGAACTTCCTGGTATGAAGGAGCATGTGACTCACTCCCCTTCCACTCATGTGACAGTGTGATTCTTGGTGATTGGCCAAGTATTGCCAAATAAGGGTGGACAGACTTTTTTTAACCCTGCGTAGATGCCGACTAGCATGAATACAGATTTACCTATTTGCAGACAGCAGGTAGAGCTTTCGGTTGCTTTTCACGTGTTTACTAGTCGACTCTTAACTGCTCTGCAGAAAATCTACAGATAAAGCTGAAATTACACTCACACACAGAGCTCAATGAGCCAGAAGAGTGACTTTCAATTAGGTAAAGACAGTTTTAAAGCAACCAGTTACTGTTAGGCTCTGTCATTAGAAACGCTAATATAGTCATATATTTTTAATTATATTTTGTATTTAATTTTTTTTTTTTTTAGTAATACATTTTTATTTGGAAAGCGAAGATTTTCTATAACCAATAATTAAAAAGTTGGCTTTTAAAGGGGGATAGTGACTGCGCCTCTTTCAGCTTTCAGAAATACCTGAAGACACCCTGCCATGGTGCTTCAGTCAAGAATACTTATGCAACAACCTAAATGGCAATAAGAAATCTACATATTGTTTTACAATGCGCTGACAAGGGATAAGTCACTTCCACTAATGTCAGACATGTACTGAGAGATCCATGAACTCATGTGACATGACAAATGTCCAGTTTAATCAACAAGTGTGTCTTAGTCGGATTAGGTTTCATCAATTAGCCACCTGTCGGGACTGGTGTTTTTTTTTACCGTACCATAACAAGGGTCTATTTATTTTGATGACAGAAGATGAATGCCAATCAGTCTGACTACATTTACCTGCAAGCCCTGAAACACTTCCTGATGTCTTCTTTAAGATGCATTTTGTATATGCCTCACATATGGGCGAAACCCTTCAGACAAGGAGAATTAGCACACACTGATTTGCGTTTGAGTTTTATGCAGCATTATTTTTCGAAATGAATATCGTATATTACAAATTGTGAAAGCCGAACTCCAGCCAAATGGCTAAATACACAGTGGAAATAGATAAATGTAAACTCTATTATCTCCTGCTTTGTAATTCTGTGTAGCCGAGATTGAGAATGATATACCTTTGCAAGAAGTAATGAAAACTATTGCCACCTCTCTGCCTGCAGCCTGACTGGACTATGAACACTGATCATCAATTGCAAGTTCTCTGCCAACACTTATGTGCATGCAGCACAGTGTGATTGGCCCCTAGTGATAGGCTCTCCCTCTCCCAGTGTTAGTACTTCTGGGAAGGGATGGTTGATACTGGTATTACAGAATCTGATAATCATTCTAGTTGTATGTAATAACACATTCATCTGCTGTGGACCCCCAAGACTCTTGCCATTAATGCACACAGCATATTTGCACATTAATGCACACTTACCTTGTAGTGTGCCCTCTTCCAGCGATGTGAGGTCATTGCTCCCCGTCGTCGCTCCATCACTGCTATCTTCTTCTTGTCTTTTTTTAAATCTTTGTCATTGGTCGGCCACTGATGACGCAATTACCGCACATACACAGGACTTACATCTCAGCACCTGGCTTTTGCACGCAATTTTTTTTAAATTGCTAACAGGAAGGGAAAACATTTTTATGGCAGGAGAGACATACAGGGTAGCTTAGTGGCTTAGTGGTTAGCAATTCAGCCTTGCTGGAGCATTGGGGGCCCCAGTTCGAATACCACCCAGGACACTATCTCATGGAGTACTCCGGTTTGCTCCCACACTCCAAAGACATGCTGGTAGGTTAATTGGCTCCTGTCTACATTGGTCCTAGTGTGTGTGTATGTATGCATGTGAGATAGGGACCATAGATTGTAAGTTCCTTGAGGGCAGGGACTGATGTGAATGTACAGTATGAGAAGTTCTACGTACTTTGGAAGTGCTATATAAATGCCTGTAATAAATAGACAAAAATAAAACTCTACCCAACAATCTTTTTTATAGAGCATTACATGCATTAATTGGTGTTTTTGTGTCAATCTCTGTTAACAGCTTTTAATAATTTGATTATAAGATAAATGAACTGGTGTTAGAAGATAATTGTCTCCTGACAATAAAGTGAAAGAAAATAGCTAGTTAACTCACACTAAATGCTCATAACCGTATCCCATAAAGCACTGTTGTTTCTAATTTATGAACTTCAAGAAACCATATTAGATGTGATGAGGGGTCATGAAGATCAAAGGGAACCACTAGCAGAGAGTCCTCAAGAATAGGGCTGCTGGTAATTTTCAGGCTTCCTTTGTCTTCCTTCCATCCAAATGATAATACCCCTGACATGTTTCATCAGTGACAGACAGTAAACACAATGTCACCACCACTAAATCAAAGACTAGCCTGACACTCCCATCCTTTCACAACCGCCTGTAACAGGAGCCTAACAAACCCAGCCTGACAGCCTATTGAGACCTAACAAATGAGCTAAAATAACTCCTGCTAAGTCAGACGCAGTATTATGCACACATCCAATGCCTAATGCCGCTTTCCGATAATCCTTTCTTAGCGGACAAACTTGAGGTGCTTATTTAGAGAGAGTTTGCGTGATGCACTTAATAGTGTCTGCAGAAACGAAAAAGTACCAAAGTACAGCCTGTTCAGGTTATCTGACCGTATGGAACTAGTATTGCTGGGCACTATGGAACAAGTCAGCACTACAGAAATAATTAAAAATAAATACAATAGACAGTCTGTATTTTTCCACTGAACCCATGTGTCTCTTAGTAAATTGTATTAATTCAACACAACCAAAAATGTGGTACATACTCTATATTATTTATCATTTATAATGTGTGGTTGTAGGGCAAATATTTCAAAGTACAAATATAAATCTTATTTATAGGGCTAATGAAGACTTTCTTGATATAAGCCTCCAGCAATACCTAGTGCACTACCACTTAGCCATAATGGTTTTAATAGCTTGCATTGTGTTGAAGATGATCATGCTCCCAGGAAAGTGACAAGACAGATGACTTCATCGATGTATTGCTGCTCCTCCATTACCTGCTGACAGACTCACGTGGATCGTTAACCAGGCTGTACTGCTTCACTGCACTGAGCAGTTCTGTCTGGTAGGGGTGCATGGATCACAAGACTCTGAAGAGAATTTCAAAAATCTTTTGGCAGCAAAAAGTCTCACATAAGACATATAACATAGATGTTGTTTTTTGCTTTTCTTGAGTTCAGTCTTAAAGCTAAATTCCAGGACGTCTGCCATATACAGAGATGAAATACATATATGGGGGACTGTTTTATCTGATAAAGGGTTTGTATTTCTGTCCACCCAGCCCTGGGAATTCATACAGCTTTGCCACACAAGACAGCCGTGTCTGGCAGGGAAGAAGGCCTCATTTGTCTCTTCTGCAGTTAAGTAGCACTTACAGGTTTTGCCCTTCCACCCCAGCCTGTGACTGGCCAGTGAAGGGGAAGCAGCAGGCTGACAGGCTCATCTTCTGTCACTCTGTCTTTTCCTGCTATCAGCATGTCCCTTGTTATCAAAAGAGCACTGAGGCACAACTGGAACACAACCTATTAGCATGCCCCTTGTTGTCAAGAGAGCACTGCGGCAAAACTGCAACACAACCGATCAGCATGTCCCTTGTTATCAATTGAGCACTGCGGCACAATTAATTGGTCACCATGCAGCTTCTAACTATCCCAGTCTGAGCTGTGCTGTACAGGTGGATTGCAAGATGCTAAAAACAAGTTGTATTCAAGTACTTTCACTGTTTGTATTGATAAAAATACATTCAAATGATTTAATAATACAGTACTATTTTTATTTGTGTCTTTTTATATGGGCCTGCATATAGACAAAAAATATAAGTAATTTGGAGCTTTCATTTTAGCTCATATACAGTGACAAAGACACCGCATTTTGGGCGAGATCAAAATGAATGCAGACACCATATCTATGGACTGGTAAGCTGCATTATATTACATTTTTTTTAGGTTTAGATATGAATTAAATGTTACACCATAGACTTCTAGAAGTTGGGTATGCAGAAGTCTTTTACACCACAATCCTCTAGGAATCAATGAAATCTTTAGGGCATATACTGAATCTACCTATTTCTCACATATCTCTTCCTGTATAGTCCTGTGTCCAATGTATTATTTAGATGCCTCTTTTTCCCCTCAGTCCTGCTGTCTTTTATTCTACAATGGCAATGAAAAAAATAGTTTTTATGTGCCAAACTGCATACTTTTATTGTGTTTTTGTCTTTTGTTGAAAGCTTGATAGAAATAATTGTCTAAAGATATGGCTCTAGTTTAAAACAGAACTCAAGAAAATGCTGTCAGCACCTGCGATTCAGGTTTCTCATTTAAATGTTAATTAAAAGTGCCTTGAGGGGCGAATGCATGACTTCCTGAATGTAAAGACCTGATAATTGCTCCTGTTTGTTACAGAGGAACAAAGCATGAAAAAAAGGTAATGCACAGATTTAGATCTGCTAACGCTCTAACCTATCATTGCCCATATTCCGCAGCTTGATCCTGAATGCTGCCATGATAATGAAGCTCTCCTATGCTGGAGGCTGAGCTGGGTGTGTCACTTTCCTGATAACAATTTGCGGAATACAATGTATTCCTACCTCGCTGAGCAAGTTAGACCACCCTACAAGTGGAATAGCAGATGACAGCTATTGCTACTTACTACAATGGAATTACAAAGCAGCACCCACTACATTCTTAACAGCCACTCAGCTTAATTACTAACTAGTGCATTACCTTAAAAATCATTATCATCAAGATGGTTTCCTACTATGTCCCACACTGGTGCTCATACATGGATTTCCTAATGCCTAATGAACAAGAGATTTCAGCCTGTTAAGGAAATGAACTTACGTCTGTGAATTATGTTTTTCTTATCCGGTAAGGACATTTCCTTGTTAAAGAATTAGAAAATGCAAACCACATACTGGTCTATGCAGCAGAGCTATTAAATCATTTGCAAACAGGTATGTGAGCTTTGGGAGATTATTGGAATTAGTTTGCAAAGGCCGGGTTAGGCCCTCTGTCAAGTTGCCGTTGCAGTTTTTGTCCCTCCTGGGAAGAGTCACCCCTCTATTTGTCCTTCTAATCGCCATTACCAAGACAGAAAGTGGTGGTAAAATTTAGAGTTGTTTCCAGAGCAGTTCCCAATGGGGACTAATGTTCTGGTGACAACTTTCTAAGAGTGGAATTCCCATTATTTTGAAAAGAATTCTTATTTCCTATTGCATCTCCAGAATAGGAAGTGAAAGCTACACAGTAAGACACAGACAGCAAAAAAAAAAAATGGCGTGATAAGTTTTGGCAGTACATACAATTGGACAGCCAAAGAAGACAGCGGCTCTTTCATTCAATTAAACACAAGAGATATAGAGAGTCCTCTGGTCTACAGACAATAGCCAACAAGGAGTTGTGTATCACCAGTGCTCCTGCTATGAACTTATCATAGCAGGTCTGAAACAGGGAAAAGTTGCTTCCATGATGAAACAGGAGTTTAACGCATTTTATTTCTGGCACGTTGTGCTATTGAGTCTAGAATGCATACACAACCTTTTCCAGGATGTTGAGTCCTCATCTACATATGAGCTGCTATTACGCTGTAAAGGAGGTAACGTGATAACTGGCTGTGTTTACTAATGTAACATTCGCCTTTTCTATATGGCTGCAATGAATTACATGTGCCTCCTACTCTATTGAAGAATGTTGCAACCAACCTTCCCACATTGAAATGAATAATAAGGTGGGGTCAGATGTAAATGTAATTACAACATCAACCATCTCAAGTCCTCCACAGGGTATAGGTCATCTCCCTTCTAGAGTTATAAATTATATTAGATATTTCTTATTAGGCAATATATTTAAATAAAAGCAAAATATCTAGGAGTTCTTTAGAATTTTCGTATGCTGACATAGATGTTAATCATTGCAATTCCTTGAATCACAGTTACATTTGGTAGGCTTTTTGGTAGTATATACAGTCTTGGCAATGAGTCATACATTTATTATAATCATTACTAAGGGGCTGACAGTAAAACCGGTGATAGATATCTAATCTTTATCCAGCCTGGACAGTGAAACAAACTAGATTTCTTACTTCTGTATTTTCCTATATAAGGAAAACCCGAGAATTTCACTTCCTAATTCACTTGAGGAAATTCCACACTGATAAAACATCCTATGATTGGGTAGATGTTATAGTATAGTTTTCTAATAATTACTTTGTCAAGCCAATTGGAAATCACACTTGAAACACGAGAATTTCCAAAAGGCAAGGACATCTCACAAGATGTAAACTGGAGGCACACATGAAATGTACAGTTCCTTTTGCAGAGATCACACAATTCTTGCTCTAAACAGAAATGATGATCGTGTATTTATTATTATTATTATTATTATACGTGATTTATATAGCGTCAACAGTTTGCACAGCTCTTTACAATATAAGGAAGACATTACAATCACAATACAATTCAAGACATGATGGTAAGGAGGGCCCTGCCCTTGGGGGCTTGCAATCTAAAAGTAAGGGACGAGTGACACATGAGGAGGTATTTATTTCCACTTTCTTTTTTCTGTAAATGTCTAAGCAACCGCAACTTAAAATGTATATGTCACATACGGATTGAGGTTCCCACTTCACAAAGAAATAACATTCAGAAAAATGTTATTAAATAACCAAGGCATACTAGTCCTACACTGAGCAGTTTGGGGTGCGCATTGGTCTGGCTGTTAGATTTCCCTTTGGCTTTCTTGGAGAAAAAAAAACATTGTACAGATAAATGAATATTTGGATGAACCAGAGTTTAATGTTGGTGGGACAGTTCAGTCACACTTGCCTCTCTCATCAAACCCACTGACACGGCTTCTTTTATATTTTAGTGCTAAGCGCAGCATATGGAAAATCTTAAGCTGGCCATACACACAGGAATTTTCTGCCAATGTGAACCATTTTGCTGTCAATTTCATCAAAAATGTCTGATTTTTCTGCCGCATTTGATTCCATTTCAACCCTCCTCTTTTTTTGCAGACGTTTGATGTTAAAAGTTTTGAGTGCTCCATCAAATTGCCATGTGCATGGGCAGCTTTTTGTTATATTCACACAGTTGTTATTTTTATGTTACAGAACAAGCACTTTCTTTGCAAAGCTTCAATAACCGAAAGCAAATGCCTGTTCCTCACGCCCATGTGATAAAGGCCTTAGAGGAGAACTTAGTCAACACACTAAAATGTAAAAGATTGCACAATATAAATAGCTCTTTATATGTGACAGCTTTTGGTTTCTGTTGGCATTGTGATAACAATGTTCTAGATATTTACAGGACTGTAGCAGATCTGTGGTTCTGTTTGTCTTCGGACAACCAAGTATATTAAGTTCCACCATTAAAATAAGTATATATTTTTATCCTCGGCACCCTTCACTTGGCCGAAAAGGATAACCCGATTTACTTTAACAAAGCAAATCTCCAAAAGGAGGTTGGGTAACTCCCTCACAAAGCAGACCATTCCAGCAATAAACCCCACTTTTATCTAATAAAAGCTGTAAATAATCTCTGTAAACCAATTTCTATCCAGCACAGGTAATTCTATAGCTCACACAAAATGCATCCAAGTACATTTATTCTAATACATCATTTTTTTTACACCAAATCTAAAACTGACGAGCTTGCATAGGAAGTTAGTCCACTTAAAACTACTTACAGGTTTATGATATCGTTCAGAGACTTTGCGGTGAGAGCTCTGCAGTACTCACTCACATGCTACAGCCATTATGAGGGGCTGCGTTGTAAGAAAAGCTGAACTATATCCATGTAGTAGCACCTCCCCTCCCCCCCAACTACAAGAATGGCTGTATAAATGTATATTGTAACTTACCCAACCCACTAAGATGTGCCCAACATGTTCTGTGGAGCCATCTGGTTTCCTGACATCACGTAGGCATTGCAGGAGATCTGTAAACACACAGATGCATTTTAATCAATTCTTCTCTGAAAGGGATGTCCATCACAGGAGTCACAAGAGACAGAGCAGAGTGTATACCTTCATGGAGGGGAATAAGAGAGTCCAGGGTGCCAAAGATTTGCATTAACTCTTTTTCTGTCATTATGGAGAGTTTCAACATTGGGTCATGATATGCCTGTGAGAACAAAAAATGGACAAAATCTAGTCTTCAATTATCCAGAAACAAAAGCCTGCTCATATTTCACACAATGACCTTCAGTGGTCCTGTTTAGTCATTTAACAAAACTGAGAACAAGCTGTTCTCTTTTAACAAACCTAACAGAAGCTCACAGAGTAGATAACAGTACAGCAAATGAGTATGTGAAGGAAAGACAGATTATCCTTTTATCCTGTTCAGAATAAAATGTAAGCATATAGTGGGGGGTGTTAGAAGTGGGCTTTGTAGCCTTACAGGCCAAATGGCAGATGCATCTTCCAAAGGATACAACTGCTTATGAGGTCACATGGCTTGATTTAGGAAACAAAAAGCTTTAGTGTAAGTGCAGAGTGTTCACAGGATACAACTGCTATGTACACACATTATATTCTGTGCAGAATAAAGCAGCATTTCTCTTTCCTTTACCACCTAATTGTTCATATAAGACATTGCTAGCCTACCTTTTTTGCCAGCTTCAAGTCTTCTATTAGGTCTTCCTCTCCTTGAGATAACTCAAAAATAGCCTGTAAAATTAAATTGAAAGAACACCATAGTTAGTCATGGATGCAATGTGAGAGCAGGCTTTGGTGCCGAACTAGGCACATATAGGCAAACCCTATGTACGGTAACATCATAGCTCTTGACTAGTCAAATGCTCCGATAAATGAATGGAAGACTGCAAAACTTCCAACCTTGCTGTGATCTTTAAAAATCTCTAGAATGATTTTTGTGTTGTGTGAGCTGCAGGTGCTATCTTACTCAATGGTCATAAACCTGCCTAGTCCTTCTCACATATCCATCATCAAAAATGAACAGTGAAGCATGATCCATCATATAAAGATCAAAGTGCAGAGAGGCCTAAGAACCCCCCCCCCTTCTCCTGCTCCTGGCAAATGCCAAACGCATTAAACTTATGAAGCGTTTAACACGTGTGGGTGGGAACAGTCACTGTCTGAAAGGAGATAAAATGGCCACGTTTCCATTTATTTGGCATCTTGTCCTTGCTCTCTGCAGGAGGTGCCCGGCGCGACTGCAATTACCCAATCATGCAAATATTCTTTTTTGGCAAAGCATGTGATTTCTCAACAATGGTCATGGTGCTTTAAATACAAAATATGTTGGGATTTATTCACGGTTATCAGTAAACCGCAGCTCAGTGTTACATAACTCTTCCTCCACTTGAAAGCAGTAACATGTTTTCTATTGAAATACAGATCATGATTAATAAACTGACTTCTGCCCATGTAAAGCATGACCTGAACTACATTTATGCTTTCTGCCCAGTTATCCCAACTTGGGTGCCCCCCAGTCAACTAGCCAGCCTTGGATGACTCTGATATCACACCGATAACATCACACATCATAGCCACTTATGGCATGCCGAGGGTGGAGGCAGAAAGGCTGAAAGCGACAGTTTCCCCTCTCTGCATCAGTACACTGGGAACTGACTTTGATCTTTTAGGACCAAGTTTTTACCTGCTGTCCACAATAAACCCTTCTCCACTTTGGCCCTCCCATTTCTTGTTTGAATATTTGCTATTACCAGCAACATCTGCACCTATAAACTGTTACCCTAGCAGTTCAGTTCCAGGTGTACAGACCCAATACACTAATCTGTCTAGGTTATACACAGGGATGTGTTGCTGACCGTCGGCAACATGATGTGTGGTTGGTTATATCCTGCCCCTGGCTACCCGGCTGCCCTAAGCCACAGCCTACCCAATGTTGGCTGTGGCCTGGAGCAGCATGGTTGCCCATGCCCAAGAAATCCATGGCCATTTTACCAATACAGTGCATGCATTCCGTAATATGCGATGAGCAACCAAAACGTGTCATAAATCAGACTTTTTAAAACAGTTTAAGGTAATTAGTATATTTGTGTGTTTTGTAAGTTTTATTTATACTTTATGATTTTGGATAAAAATATATTATTTTGTCAAGAAAATATGAATTATTGCAACAAAAATTTAAATACATTTCCAGTCAGCATGTGGAGCCCTGGACTCCTTTTTACATGTTTATTCAGCTATTCTTCAACTCAGATTGCACACACAGCTGAATGACTTTTTAGACCCATTCTCCATACTCCCTGCCTGCTCTGTTAAAGATGGGAATTATGTGTACTTGGGAGAGATTTCCTCTCATTTCCTGCTGTGTTAATAGGACAGGATGTGAAGGGAAATCTGCCCTGTGGGACAGACAGCAAAAAATAACCTAATAGAGTTAGGGTCTTAGCTTGACATACACTTCACACTTCAGAGCACATATGGCTTGGAAGCTGTTTTTTATTATATATTATATTTTATTGTATTATTATATTATACAAGTTAGATTTGCTTAGATACACTGAATAGTAATGCCAGACTCCAAGTTCTAACTAGATGGCATGCTAGTATTTGTAGCTCCTTCACAACTAGAGAGCCACAGAGGTATTTGGTCTGCATTAACAAGAGAAGGTGTGCATTTATGTGAAGTGTGCACAGCTGTGTATATCATTACATCCCATAGTCTTCACAGAATAATCTCACTACATGCAGCCAGATTCATCTGTTTGCAGTCCAAACATTTGGTAAAACACAAACCTCCTGACGCTTGAGCTCCTTGGAAGTGAGCACTTGATTAACACAAACATCGAACGTCTCACTCCACAGCTTGCTGTCCCTGCGCTTCGTGATGGAAGGAGGGGCATTTCTGGACCAAGGTCTCGGTGTAAATAGATCTGGACGACTATCACCCCGGAAGCTGATAGATCGCTAAAATAAAAAATAGACAAGAAAAGGTGTTATATGAAAACACATTGCTTAAATGTAATATTTATCTGAAACATTTTCAAGATTAATTTCAGGCAAACAACTAAAATAGTGATAAGTGATTAAACTAGGGATAAACTGATATCAATATCGGTATCATTGCCAATAAGGCTCCGATATATGCCCCGATACCGGAATCTCAGTGTCAAGAGGGAGCATAGAGCCGCTTCCGGGCTTCCTGATTGGCTAGGAAGTCGGCTTCACTTGTCGCTAGGCTGCCTGGCTTCCTCACCAATCAGGAAGCCGGGCAGCACATCATGACCCGCCTCCCAGCTTCCTGATTGAATAGGAAGCCAGCTTCACTTGTCGCTAGGCAGCCTAGCTTCCTGATCAATCAGGAAGCCGGGCGGCAGGTCATGACCCGCGACCCAGCTTCCTGATTGGTAAGAAAGCGAGGCTGCCTCACAGCGTCGCAAGGGAGCGTGAAGCCAATGTTCTTTCAATAAAACACCGGCTTCCCAGGCTCCCCAGGAAGCAGGGTGGCGGGTCATGTGATTCATACAACTCTGCTAGAAAACACAGTCAGGAAAGAGGGCAACTCTGCGTTTTTTGGAAGAGCTAAGGCATGGCATGATGCAGTGCACGAATATGTATTCAACTTTGCTAATTCCAATATATTTTACTATGTTTAAAAGGGTATACAACTGCATTAAATGTTTTTATATCTACCTGGAGGATCAGTTATAATAAAATTGTATATAACATAGTTGATTGGCTTCATGGTTATGAGAAATTTGCAACGCAGCAGTTGTTCAAACAGGCAGGTGCTGAGAAGCTGTTGCAAGCAACACCTAAACTGAGCCACATGTGACTCATGAACAACCAGCTTTGGAATAAGGTAAAACATCAAGGTTACTTTATTTTCTAAATATCTTATTGTAATATGTTTACTGTGCTCTATTTCCTCAGATATATTTAATTATCTTTCTCTTCCCTGTGATCATTTTTTAATCTGTTGTGTCCTAGTCCATCTGGCTCTTTCAAGTTTTTTTTTTTGTGTGTCAAAACTGCATTCTGAAAATAAGTGTCCTCGTGTATAGGGAATAAAATGCCCCATGCAATCACCCTACGTGTGACTTACAGTTTATAGTACATCTCACTGCAACCACAGCTAGAAACAGTGTATGCAGGGAGATCTGAAGACTTAAAATAAAACTATAGCCAAACTTTTTTTTTAGCCACAGTTCTCTTTTAGGTTAAAGGAGTACATTTACTAATGTAATCTTGTGACCCAATGCCAGCATATAGCGGGCTACTGCCCACTATATGCTGACAGCGCAGAGGCATGCTGCAGCAGGGAAAGATCCCGACAATATATCCTCGGAGTCCACTATGCTGCCTGATTAATAGCTGGCTCTGCCTCTCTAGAGCCAGCTGTGCCCAGCCCCCTCTCCTTCTCTATCCGTCCAATGAGCACTGGAGGAACTGACAGACTCTCTGCAGGGAGAAGCCATGAGCTGAGTGATCAGCGGTTTGTGATTACTCAGTTCTCGAGCTACAGAGCCGACGTTTGACAGCTGCAGTGTCGCACACCAGCTCAAACTATTTGGAACAGTTAATTTTACATTCCCAAGATTTCCCCTTTAAGCTGGCCATACACTGGTCAAATTTTGGCTGAGTAGCCAGGACCAGTTTGTGGCCCCCTCTGCACACCTGCTGCTGTCAGAATAAAATAGCCTGGCAGGATGGCATGTTTTTTCATTCAGCCCCACAATACAGTGTATGGCCAGCCTTTGAAGATAAAATCATATTAGAAAAAAGTTAAGGGTTCAGTCCACAAAAACCTTAATGCCATTTTTTTGGCAGATGCTGAAGACTTAAACCACCCGACAATTTCTTAGATCCCTTGAGGACCCCATTGGTGAGATCTCTGTGTTTAGGTTCCTGGGTCTATATGACAGCTGTTGCCACTATAACTCTGCTGGATTTATTTCTTCTATATTACAGAGAATGCAATAGGAAGAGGTGGAATACACAAAGGTGGGCGGGAACACTGAGAAGTACCAGGTGGACAGGAAAAGGGTTGAAAATTTTGGCAGGGAGATCTCACTGCTGGAGTATATAAGACATAAGATGCCATGGCATGACTCAGCCCTGAATTATTACTTGGGGGTGAAGTGGGCCTTAAAGCATTTTATGCTTCACCTCTGTCATAAAATTAAAAAAGAAAAAAACTGTAATCAGTGATTCCTGTTTTAACAGACATGCAAAATGTCTGACATGGGGCCATTCCTGTCCTTTATACCAGTTTTACAAAGAGTCCCATGAGTTCATAAAGATTCCATTTAACAAAAGTAAACTAGCAGGTTTTTCACTGCTTTCTTCTATGACCAATACTAGAAAAATGACAGCTGGAATTGGATTTTTCACTTTAGACCAGACGTACGCTTTTCTTTGTCTTGCTTTGTAGAACTGGTAACAAGGAGGTTTAAATGTCTGGATAATCCTCTGAGGAAGTCACATTTTATATAGAGGCAGAACTATAAATAACTGGGCCACATAAATCTATATAAGGCATTTCATGAGCCAAATTAAAGGGAAGCAGTTCATGAATCAGATATAGAAACATGTTTCCGCTGAGTCTGTCAGTGTGAGGATTAGCGGAAAAATATAAGAGTGAATTCACTATGAACATGGCCATTTTAAAGGCCAACACCAGGTTGCTTTTTGCCCAGAGCGGGGATTTAAATAATTACATGCAGTATCCAGGCACAAAATGGTGGCCTGAACTATTCTGGTTTCTGCTGCAGAATTTGACATGAAAACATTTTCAGGACCATTGATTTTTTTTTTATCTGTAAATGTAGCCAGTTTGTTTAATGGCAATCCAACTTATGGAGAAGTATGGGACTTGTAAAATTAACCAATAAATGGTGTTATTGTATGTACATCCCTTTAAAAGTTTCATACATATTAATTTTATCTCAGACTTGCTTGACTGTCTGGATAAATAACTAAGTATAGAATTCTGCAGACAGTCACCTTTCCTTTGTAGAGTTTAAGGGGTAGTCTGTCTAAGTAACAATGCTTTCCGCCAAAACCAACAAAATGTTCAACAGTAGCCTAGAAATGTGACCACCATAAGGTGCTCACGCCTATGTATTCCTAAAAAGATTTTTTAATCCAGGGATACCCGAGACCACAGTTGCTGAAGTCCTCTACTTTGTTCCAAGCTCTGACCCATCCCTGACAACCCAGAATGTAATGCAGGAGCCTCAACAGACTCCTTAAATGATAATATGCCATGAGCTTCTATTTTATTCACTGCTTATTCTGCAATATTCTTGTCTAATGAATCTACTGAACCAGGTTTTCAGAACAAATACAAAAAAACATAAGGTCACAGAAAAATAAGGAAATAAAGCAGACAAAACCACATAAGTCAATAAGAGCAAGAATTAATAAAGCTTAACATAAAAAAAAAAAGTTAAACAAATAGTATACAATAGAGCAAGCATTTAAACAAGGATACAGCTGTTTAAACTGCAAAAGGGAGGCTTAGAAATGTAGCCAAAACATAATTTGAACTTCCCACATTGGTGCTCACAACTGTAACTAATAAAGCCTCTCTTTCAGACCTAAGACATATTTTCCCTGACCTCTCCACTACGGGCAGCTTCTGCAAAGTATTAAACATCTGTCCCCCAGTGTTACTCAAGGAGGCTGCGCCTGCCAAGGTGGGATCTTTCCAGGCCAGTGACTGTACACTATTTTCTGTTCCAGTCACGCTATATGCTGCTTTCTGGATGAAACACAGACAGCCGAGGTGACTTCAGCAACTCTACTCCCTGTCTGTAAATGCCGCCTTTGTATGAGGCCAACAGCCATATGGAGGACAGGAGGCACCCAGTGCGCCAACTCACCAATATATATTACAGAGAGATGTCTGTCATACTGGTGCTTTTCCCACACATACAAAGAACCTCATGTAAAAAAAACGTTCACAGGGAATGCGCGCTCTGAGATTTGGTCACAACATTTCACAGGCTTTCACTCAAGGGGCAGATTATGTCTTGCGTTCACAGAAAATGTTTTTGCTTTCTAGGTCTGGACGAGGCTTGTGGCCAAGTTAAATTATTTACCCAGTTTTCCTTTTAGGCAGGAGACCGACTGCGCTGTCTGATATAGGTATAGAAATGTCCCCGGGTCAGACTATTCAAGCTGACCTGAGCCCTGTTGATTCATGTAAAGTTGGAATATACAAAGTTAGATTATATACTTATTGTATACCAGCAATTCTAAAAACTAAAGTGAATTTACCTGGAGTGACTGGCTGAATCTCTTTAAGGGAGTTGCCCGTACTGGAGGGATGAGATTCGCTAGTGATGTGACCCTTGAAAGTGGTTTAACCCGTTTAGTGCTCGGTTCCTGGAAAGGAAGAAGAGAGAGTACATAAGTCAGAGTTCAGAAAATACACCAACTGATGCAGTAACTATAACACAACACAGTGCAACTCCAGCCAAGACTGAATGAAGCTTAGGTCCCACACTTTCCCTATTCTATCCAACACAGAAAAAAATCCCATCATGCATGTGCATCTTGGAGTCATGTCTTTGGCTACAATGCCTCATGGGATTTGTAGTTGCACCACAGCTGGAGGGCCAGAATTTGCCTACTCCTGGGTACCCCTTTAAGAAAGGCTGCCATTGGGGACTTCTCATTCTGCAAAAAGCTAGTTTCTAGGCTGTTTTAAGCTGGCCATACACTATTTGAATTTTGAACAGCGTATGGCCCTGTCGGGATTGCTCCATTCAACAAAAGTTGATATTTCCGCCGTCTTCTGTCGAAGGAGCCAGTCTGGAAATTCTTGGCCATACACCACTGTTTGAATATCCTGACAGTGGCACACCCACCACTGTCAGAATACAATAGCCCGGTAAGGGTAATTTTCTCATCCATGCTAAATCGCTAGCATTTACTCGTTCAACGCGTGGGTCTCATTGAGAAAACAAAAGTCAGCTTTATGGACCCTCTTGCTTCATTACATTGAGTTTCTATCCTAGAACAAATACGCAGGTAAGGACTTTTCTCTGACCCACACTCTGAAATACTAGTCCATGCTCATTGCTAATCAAGGCAACTTATTAACCTGAGCTTGGTATTTATGTCATGGTTTCACAGAGACAATTCATAGTGGACTAGGCATATCAAACAAAGCAGGAAACACAGCAGAATAGCAGTTTGCTGATATTTTCAAAACACAAATAAATGACTGTTTTTTTGTACTTATTTTCCTTTCATGTGACAGGAAGCTCCTGGTATTTTGTACTGTCTAGCACTATGCCAACCATCCTCCCTTTTAGAAAGTACTTCTACTTAGTCTTCTATTGTACTCCGCAGCCTATGTTTTATCTTCAAAGCAACCTGTAGTTTGTTCCTTTATTTCCTCTCTGGGAGACTTCACTAAGCTGCCGCAAGCAGTGCACAACGCTGATCCACAAACAATGTCTCTGAGCATTATGTATTGTGTATTGTGATGTGCCCGCTACAGACAGTCTGCAAACTGTCATTTTCCTGGCTCTCACAGGTTCAATGAGGACTTGGCAAGACAGAGATCACATAAGCAGGCAACATGCTATGTATATCCTGGCGCATGGTTTCCTTCCGTTGCATTACATTCTGCTGTGATCAGAGAAATAAACATAAATTCTCCCAAACGACAACAGATCTCACGTATCAGAATAGTCTGGTTTGCACCAAAGCAACCAGATTCCCCTTACACTTGTTACTGGCAGTTGGAGAATTTAAAGGAGGGACATAATTGCAATGCCACAGCAAAATTTACGTTGGTTATATTTTAGACACTTTGATAAATGAGTCTCAATTAAGTCCATGCATGAAAGTAATACAAAAAAAGATGAACCTGTTGCTCACGGGAACCAGATGCCAAAATGTACTTCCCTAATGCCGGGGGAATATAAGCCAATATCACATAGGTTGGTATAGGCAACATTCATTTTTTGGTGTTACCTTTATATTGTGTTTATGTTATGTTTTCTGCTTTTGCTATAACCTTGGCATTTTCTTTAACAAATTAAAATGTTTTGCTTTTGTTACACATGATCTTGTCACACTTTTAGGCCAGGTTCACACCGAACCGCTGGCATGTGTTGCGATAATGCACATGTGGTAACACTTGCAGCGTTTTACAGCCCGTTTAAGATGAATGGGCTAGCAGCGCACCTTAATGGCCAGGAAAACAGACCTGTCAGCAAGGTGTGTTGAAGTACCATACAGAATGAATTCCACTGCACCATAGTAAGTAGAGTGCGGTGCCATAAGACCAGGTTCATACCTGCCAATCCGTGACCGTGCAGCAATTGTGCACATTACCGTGCGGATTGCCATGCGGTCACGGAGTCAGCCACCGATCGCACTGGCGGTGTCATTATTTTCTAATGGCACCCCAGTCGCGCTGGGTGGATTGTGGAGTTTCCCACCACGATTCTGCCCGTGCAATCAAACATGATCGCGGCTAAAACAGCCGTGTGTCGCGAAAAAAAGGTACATGTACCTTTTTTCTGCAATAGCCACGTGAATGTAACCACATTGAAATTAATGGGGCCGCACGACAACAGCTGTGTGCAACTGCACACGATCGCGTGGTCCTGGTCTGCACCAGCCCTGAGACGCACGGGAACCCTATACTGCGGTTAAACATATTGTGCATGGTTTTAAGGCACTCCTACCTAAGTCCATTAGGGCCAAAAAGGTGCGATCATGGCCCAAATAAGCTCTTGTACTTTTTCTGAGCATTGAGCAGCAGCACATCATTCAAATGTGAACGGGCACAATAGACTAAGATGGAAATCTGAGTGTCGTGCATTGAAGCATTTCTGGAAATGTGCTTTAAACCACTCAGGTGTGAATGGGGGCTTACAGTTGAAAGGACAATGCTTCTAGATAAAGATAAACAACCAACAAGAAAAAACACTAAATAATCACATTGGTGAAATACTACCGTATGTGGTATTATGTTAAATTACTTTTGGATTGTTTTCTCCAAAGCAAAAGGAAAACACAATTAACAACAGGAAAAAGTCTCTTTCAATAACTCTACTTCCAAAGATAAAACGATTCTAAACTTCTTGGCTTAGAATGCAATCATGAAGCTTTTAATGAAGTTTTGATTCTACCCAAAGTGGAAGGCTTCCTAAACAAGTCGTAAACATCTGTAATCTAATTACTAGCTGTATGTAGATTAAAGTTCTGTCACTTGACAAAGAGGTGGCCTGTTTTACAGCTGTCACACTCCCGAGCACTGTTTCAAGGGATACTTTGATAGACTGTTTACAAATAGGATGTCAAACTGATGGACTTGTCAGAGTTACAAAATGGCAAATTAGCTCAGCAAATAAGAGAGATTAAGTACAAAGCATCTGCTAATGTATTACAGACACCTGGACCGATATCACTGGGGAAAAACCTAGCCAATCTCTAAACAAGAGATTTGCTGTGTGTGCACAGGTCATTGTGTAAGTCTGTGTATACAAATAATGTTGCTTTTCAGCATAGAACTAGACAAAAGACCATCTCGCTATGTAAACTCCAGTGCAGGTAAAGACATCTGGAGATTTAGTTTACAAAATACTGGTCAATCTAGGAGACTATGGAATAAAATTAGGAAGGAAGCCATTAGGCTAAATAGTTTTGTGACCTTGGTGTTATTTGTCGGTATTACCAACATTCCTTGGCTGCTGGAGGATTTTTGTTTGTTACAATGAACTGTGAGAGCAACTGATATTGTTGTACCTCAGACATTAGAGGCTGTCAGACGTGTAGGCACAATCGTTGGGAAGGAAAATCTAATAAGCGCTGCAGGGCATTTAAAAAAAAAAAAGTTAGGCTGGGTATACACAGTTGGAATGTCCTGCAAAAAAAAACTCATCAGATAATTCAATAATGCCATCAGGGACTTGACGAATGTCGTTCATAATTTAGTTTGATATGAACATTCAATTTTGGAATTAATCGAGTTTCTACAACGAAAACCAAATTCACTGTTAGAATTTTGTTTGTTCAAGAAAAAATTTCCATCCCTCTCTTTCGATTCTTTTCGTAACTACGGTTGGAAACGATCGTTGATTTGTTTAATCAGATTTGACCCCATTAACTCTTAGTAAATCCAATGAACAAGTGTTTTTGAATGACATTCTAACCGCGTATACCCAAGGCTTTAGCTCTGCTCAGTGGTGGGGGGGAGGGCTAAGTGGTTCAGAGTAAGTCTGCCTGATCCACACATCTTTTCAACTCTCAAACCCAGTTTCCCCCCCAAGCCAGCAATAGCCAGGGCTGGGTGGGAAGACCTAAATATCTAACACCACCGGTGTCTGCGGCATTCCTAATCTGAACTATGGCACATGTGCCATACTTTGGGTCATTCACTATTCTTGACACATCAGTGACAGATCAGGACCCACATGCAAAGATTCTCCAACAGACTCTTCATCACCTTACATTCAGCTCAGAAACTGCCTGATCACATACAAGACTCAAAATTAGGAGCATCCCTTCTAGTTATTGTATGGTCCAGACTAGGGCCAGACAGAATCAAGAGATCTTATAATTACAGCCCATGGGGCAACTATGGGGGCACCACGTTATCTCTATTAATCTCTGCTTTATCTGCAGAGATTAAAGGGTGCCGGTTGTGATATTAGTAGAGGAGCTGCTATTGCTGACTTGTTTCAGAAATAACTACAAGATTAGGCCTGTCATCCTTTATCTTGCTACACTACTTAGTGAGCTACTGACTGAGACAAGCATGCAGACAGTGAAGCTGTGGAGTATCTCAAATGCACATACATGCTCAGGATTGGGACTCACTAAGTAGGCAAAGACAGATGACAGTCCCAGAGCTTGCTCCTTTAAAAACAAGTCAGCAAAGGAGGCTTGTGTAATTGTCTTCACAGCTTCTTCTTAAAAAAACTTCAAACAAATTTTCCTACACGGCTGCATCCCATGGTGCTTTAGGGTGCACAAACATGTACTCGCCTGAAAATAATAGGTCAAGATATTATTTGACCAAAGATGGTCAATGACAATTTGATACTGTAAGCAATCCATCAGGCAAGCAGATCATTTAATTAATATGAAATAACACAAATCCGAATTTAAAACGAAACGAAACGAATTTTTTGGCAGTGCACATGTCTAATAGACAAGCTTTAATAGACAAGCATACATGCACACAATATACAACTGTACACTTTATTTGCATGCTCATAAGATAACCCAACCCTATCTGGAACATAAAGAGTGTGTTTCTTTAACCCAACTTAACAGAAACACTCTACTCAGGCCATTTTATGGTGTCAGCTGAGGTATGATGAGGTATACAGATATATCAATAATTGTCAGATCATTTT